CGTCGCCCCGCACTCCCCGCCCGCCCGGTCCTGCCACCTGTGCGGGTGGCCATCGGTCTGCTGTGGGAACACTGTAGGGCTGGTCCCCGCTGAGACAGGGCTGGGATTTGTCAGGAGAAACATCTGTTACGAAAATTAATGGAAACGCTCCACCAGTAACCAACAGTATCAGCAGCTCCTTGACCCTAATGTAAACAATGTACTTAGTTGCCAGTTGCATTTCTTCTCTCCCTCTGCCGGGGGACTCCTCCCCACGTTAACCCTTGCCCACTAGCTCTCTCTCGCTCTTAAGAACTTCCCAATAACACTCCACATTCTAGAATTGTGTCATCTGTCCAGTTGGCTCTGATGCATTCCTACCAAAGCCATTCTTTTTAGTCCCTTTTCGTCTTAGTCCTGGCGCGTGTGGCTCGGTTGGGCATCCTCTCTTGCACTGAAAGGTCGCTCGTTCCATTCCAGGTCATGGCACATGCCCAGGTTTCCGGTGTGGTACCTGGATGGGATGTGTATGGGAGACAACCAATCCATGTCTCTCTCACAAGGATATTTCTCTCTCCCTTCCTTCCTCTAAAAGTCAATGAAAACATACTGGGGAAAACATTATCTCCTCCCTCCCCCATTGGTTTGAAATCTAGGCCACTACACCTGTTCCTTTGATGACTTGTTTTGTGACTCTGGCAGTAAATTTCAGTTCATGGTAGTTGATCTGATCAGTTGACAGCTTGTGAGATGACTCAAAGGGTAGATGGGACAGAGTGCGGCGGCAGCCCTGATTATTTCATGTAGTTTAACAACATGAATGCCATGTAGACTGGCATTTTCTTTTTGCCAGTCTAATTTGTGTTTTCCTAGCCTCGGTGAGTAGGTGCTTAGAGGGTACTTGTTAAGAGGAAGGGGGGTAGGTCTGTGGTGACCCTTATTGAAATGTAAGTAACTCCCAAGGAGAAAAGTAAACCTGTTGGTCAATCATATTTCAGTCTAAACTACTTTATTCAAAATTCTGTCTGTGAAATTCAGCATTGAGGGAATGGGGCTTTCTTTGGGCATGGGGAGGGGTGGGGTAGTCAGGGTAGAATATTTCTGGTGTTGTTTTTGAGGTCTTGGCTGCTGAGGGCTGAGGCAGGGTTGAGGCGTATCGGTGAACTAGGTGGGTGTTAGAAACAGGTATCCATATACTGGCCAGAACCTGAGAGCAGGCTCAGGAAGCCCTGCAGGTTGTTTGAAGGCAATAAACCCTAGCTTCTCACACAGTAGTCCTGTTGCCCTCTCCAGGCCAGGCTCATCTCCTCAGGGTCAGCCTCCTGTCTCCTAGCCTTTCCCTTTGCAAGGGGTGGAGTGAAAAGCAAGAAGTTCACCTGGCGGCCGGGTGCTATTCCTGTATAATACTCAGGCTTATTGGACTCTGACACCCATTCAGTGAACTGCAATTGTTGACTGTATGTTGACATTGTTCAGAAAGTGGCCAGTGAGGCTCAAAGGCTGGAGAGGTCAGATAGCAATTGAAGTTGCAACTTCAGGGAAAGAAGGCTGAAATCCTGGTTCTACCATTACTTGCCAAGTACCTTTGGCAAATCACCTCTCTAAAAAACCTGTTTTCTTGAAATACCAACTACATTTAAGGGTGGTTGTGAGGGTTAAATAAAGCAATCCATGGGTAGCTCTCAGCTAGTTCTAAGAGCATATGATACGCACAGTCTGTTAAAAATTACCTGAAGGAAATGGAGAACAAGGAACTTAAAATATTGCATAAGGACTTAATATTTGCATATTTGCAGTGCTGCCCTCTCTGCATTTTGGTAGAGAATGCATGGGTCAAAGGAAACAATGGCTAGAAAACTATATACATCACGTGCCAGTGTGGGTGAAGAGTTAAAGGTAGACCTTCCTTTAGTGTGCTGACCACCGCACGGGGATACTCTCTCCTGAAGCCATGCAATGGCATTTGGTGCACGGTCTGTTCAGGATCAAGAGGCCTTGGAGATTTCCTGATCTCTTACCTTCCTGCACCACGGCACCTACACCGTTATAACTGCTCTCTCAAAAATTGGAAGAGCTCTCTATAGTAAGCATTACTTTGAGTATGTGGCATGGGGTGGGGAGGACTGTTCATTTGATGGATTTGTTGGATATATTTAATTTTTCATAATTCTCAGTATCTCAAATTAGATATGAAAAAACATACAATAGTGCCTCTAGAATACCAATTATTTTTATATTTTCAATTTTCTCTTTTTGGTTCTTAGAGTAACCAAGTCAGAGGATTATATGACTTTTATCTGCCTAGAGAAGAACTATGGATCTACAACATGGAGACTGGAAGATGGTAATTGGATTTATAAGAGGGACTAAAACATTCAAATACTGTTGCAAATAAAAAGAAACTCTGTAGAGCCCATTCTAATGAATAAAAACATTTTAGTTAAAGATGCTAAGCTATATGTTCTGAAAACAGTGTTGTGCTAGTTTGGCCTAACTGCTAAGCTTACTCTTTAGCGTCTCTTCAGAAATATCAGTAATTACTAGATATTTTTATGATCCTTGGAGAAATTTCTATTCAGGACTCTATAAAGTACCATAGTATTATTAAAATAGAGGTAGAGGCTTCAGATCCTGGAATGGAAATATAATAAAAGTTCCACGTAAGTATTTTTTCAAGATGTTATATGGCATCTTGAATGCAAAAAATTATAGATTGTATGTACTAGAAATAAAGGTGGTATTTTAATGAGTTTTAACATTAAAATTTCCATAAAATAGTATGTTTTGTTTAAAAAACAAAACTAACGTAAATTTGCCTTCCATGGGGATATGGTGAAAGGGTCTTTTGCTAGTCTCATAGCAGTGGGACTCAAGAGTATGTCCGTGGCAGGATTAACGCGACTCTCAAAAGGCTGGGTTAGTTGTGTTTGAGGATTTATGAAGTAGTCTTTCCCCGTGGTTTGCACTCTGAGAACTTTGTGCTTTACATATATTACATATTATAGATCTCAGAACTGGAATAGTACTCCCACTTGATTTAACAGTTAAACTAAGCATGTTAAGATTCTTCTGTACATAGTTAATCGGTGTTTTCTGAGCTGTTTGCCAATCTTTTTCTAGATAATTGGAAATGTGTAATAGTATCCCTGTAATATGGAATTCTACATATTTTTAAAAATCAGCCCCATAGCCCTAGCTGGTTTGGCTCAGGGATAGAGCCTCTGCCTGGGGACTCAAGGGTCCCAGGTTCTATTCCGGTCAAGGGCATGTACCTCCACTGCAGGCTCTTCCCCAGTAGGAGGTGTGCGGG